CACTTCTTCTTTCTTCCTGCTTCCTTCTTCGCCATTCCCGTCCCTTCTTCTTTTCCCCTCCTCACTGCTTTCTCTTCTATATTCTCACCTCCTCCTCGTCGCCTCGTCGCCTCCTCTCCTCCTCTCTTCTTCTTCTTCTCTTTCTCAAGTTCTTGCAGGTCTCCTCCTCGGGATTTTCTCTCGAGCGCGTTCCCTTGGAAGATCAGTTCACTGAAGCGAATGTGAGCCTTCAATTGTTCCCTGCTCCCGGCTTGCCTCTCCCTCTCCTTTCTGCTCTTGCCCCTGCTCTTCCTGCTCCACCTCTGCCTGCATCACCACCACCAGCTCCTCCTCCTCCTCTCCTCCCCTCTCATCGAGTCGGCAGAGCAAGGGATATGGGGAGATCACGAAGCGAGTCGTCTTCAGCCACGGCACTGAGATGGCGTTTACGGGAAAGACGGTGGACGGTAGGGAGGAAGAGGCTCGGCAGCAGAACCTGACACCCGAGGCAGGGACAAGCTACGACAGCAAAGAGCAGGGGACTTACGTCTGTGCTGTAGGAGGACTCCCTCTGTTCTCATCGGGTACATGAGCAGGCGACTTGAAAAGCCCTCCTCCTCTAGTCTCCTCCTGCTCTGGTCTCCTGCTCTGGTCTCCTCCTCCTCCTCCTCCTCCTCTTGTCTTCTCCTTCTCGAGTTTTCTCCGCATCCTAACCCGTTGGATAGAGCACAAGTATGACAGTGGGACCGGGTGGCCAAGTTTCTTTCAACCTGTAAGATATTTCCTTCTCCTGCTTCTCCTCCCTCCTCCTGCTTCTCCTCCCACCCTGCTGGTGCTGCTGCTGCTGCTGCTGCTCCTCCTCCTCCTCCTCCTCCTCCTCCTCTTCCTCCTCCTCCGCTGCCCCCTCATGTTACCCTCGCTGTTGCGATCTTCTCCCTCAAATCTTGTCAGGTTGACCCCGATCACGTCATTGAGCGCATCGACACATCAGCTGGTTGGCCCCTCCTCTTGCTCGTCCTCAATCAGCTCGAGCCCTTCCTCCCAGACTCTCCTCCCTCTCCTCTCTACTTGCCTTCCCCGCTCCCCAACTCTTCTTCCTCTTCCTCCCTCTCCTTCTCCTCCGCTCTCTGATCTTCTCAGCAGGCATGACAAGGGTTGAGGTTCTCTGCGCAAGGACCGGAGCTCATCTCGGCCATGTACGTGACTCGCAGCTTTCTCCCTTCTCTGCTCTGCTCTCCTTCTACCTCCTCCCCCTTCTTCCTTCCTCTTTCTACAGTCCTCCCCTCGATCTTAACATCACCATTCTTCTCTTCCTTCGTATTCTCCCTCCTCCAGTCTCCTCGTCCTCCTTCTCCTCGTCCTCCTTCTCCTCGTCCTCCTCCTCGTCCTCCTCATTCCCTGCTCGTCCTTCTCCTTCCCTGCTCCTCCTCCTCCTCCTCCTTCTCTGCTTCTTTTTGTTATCTCTTCCTGCTCCTCACTCTCTCCCCAGGTCTTTCCGGACGGACCTGAGCCGACAGGGAAGCGCTACTGCATCAACGCAGCTGCACTCAAGTTTGTTCCCAAGGTAAGTAGTAGTAGTAGTAGTAGTAGTAGTAGGAGGAGGAGGAGGAGGGGGAGGAGGAGGAGGGAGATTTGGGAAGGAAGGAAGCAGGGGGAATGGATGAAGGGAGGGAGGGGAGGGGAGGGAGGATTTTATGGAGGGGAGGATGGGAAGGATTCTTACTCTGCTGTCTTCACAGGGCGAGAAGATCGAGTGAGACCTTCAGATCGAGTGAGACCTTCATAATGATGAACAAACATGTCGAAATGCATCCTGCTCCTGCTCCTGCTCCTGCTCCTGCTCCTGCTCCTGCTCCTGCCCCTGCCCCTGCCCCTGCTCCTTCTCCTGCCCCTGCTCCTGCTCCTGCTCCTGCTCCTCTCGCACCATCACTGTCGTCTTGTTGTTGTCATACACACCCAAAGCCCCTCACTGCATCCTCCTTTGCTCCTCGTCTTTCTCCTCGTACTCTTACTGCTGCTGCTGCTGCTGCTGCTGCTGCTGCTGCTGCTGCTGCTGCTGCTGCTTGCTTCTCATCCTCTCTTCACACTCTTTAATTCCCACGATGAAGCTGTCTACAACGGGATGAGTCGTCATATTTCTTACTCAGACTCACTCTTTTCCCTTGCAATCTCCCTTGAAGTGCCCGAGGATGCACGCTCTGCAGCATCATCTCACTCTCTTCCTCTCCTCTCCTCTCCT